TCTGGAAGCGCTAGATTCAGTCAGGCTGAAGAGGAGTCTGCTTGCATTCTGTGACCAATGATGGCATGAGTGGTAAAGTGACTGCATTGAGGGAGCTGCTCCTGGGCTTCAAGTCTCAGGCTAGTGACACTGGTGACCGTGGGGAAGCAGGCGTTCTGAGACACTCCTGGGCTCTAGGACATCCTCCTCTTGGACCAAGTATGTTTCTTCCACAGTGAGTGGACTTACAGCCTTCCTTTAGAAAGGCTGAAGCCTCTGATCAGGGGAGTTGGAGGGAAGTCTTGAGTTCCTAGGCTCACAGGTCATCTTGCAAAGAAATAACTAAATAATCCCCTCCTAAGTAGTAAGTCCAGGCATGGCTTCACCTCCAGACAGTCTTAGAAACACACAAGTTTGGTCTATACCAGACACTTCTCATCCTGGCCAGTTCTCCAAAATGCCATTTTTTTTTTTTGACTAGTAATATATAAAAACATGATCCCTACCTCTACAGGTAAAGCATTTGTAGGAAAAAAGAAGAGTGGTGTAACTTTGAGGCATTTGCTTCATGACTGCCAAATTTAGAAACTGTAGTTATTACAAGATGTGAAAGCAGAAGTTACATTTTCAGCCAGATACTTCTTTGTTGAGGGAGGCTGTCCTGTGCAATGCAGGATGTTCAGTAGTATCTTGACCTTCACTCACTCGATGCCAATAGCCACTCTCCAGTTATTTATTTATTTGAGAGGCAGAGTTACAGAGAGAAGGACAGATGTAGAGAGAGGTCTTCCTTCTGCTGGTTCAGTCCCCAAATGGTTGCAATGGCCAATGCTGGGCTGGTCTGAAGCCAGGAGTGTCTTCCAGGTCTCCCAAGCACTTGGGCCACCTTCCACTGCTTTCCCAGGCCATTAGCAGAGAGCTGGAGCAGAAGAGGAGGAGCAGGGATATGAACTGGTGTCCATATGGGATGCCGGCACCAGAGTCAGAGGCGTCACCTATTACACCGTAGTGCTGGCCCCATCCAGTTTTATTTTCTTAAATATTTATTTGTTTATTTAAAAGGCATAGTTATAGAGAGAGACACACACACAGAGAAGGATCTTCCATCTGCTGGTTCACTCTCCAAATGGTTACAATGGCAAGGGCTGGGCCAATCCCAAGTCAGGAGCCAGGAACTCCACCTGGGTCTCACATGTTGGTGATGGGCCTGAGGGCTGGGTCCATCTTCTCCTGCTTTCCTAGGCACCTTAGCACGGAGCTGAATTGGAACCGGAGCAACTGGGACTTGAACCAGTGCTTATATGGGATGCTGGTGAGGATGACGGCGGCTTAACCCACTGAGCCACAGCGCTGTCCCCCACCCTTCCAGTTCTGAAGGCCAAAAATATCTCCATATCCGGTCCAAAAAACTCCGAGAACTGAACAGAAGAATCAAAATGTCACAAAAAAACCAACAACCCCTGTTCTCTCTCTCCAAAAACACTCACGAAACTGAGTCATGTGTGTGTGCCACTGAGAAATTTCAGAGGATCTAGACACAAGTGGGTAGAGAACTCAGTGATTTAGTCACAAAAAGTCAAGCGAGAATTCTGGAGGAGTCTCTTGCTGGTGACTGTTCAGTGGCTCTTAACATGGGCTCCTGCCTGCCTCTCTCCTCCAGCCCAGGGAGAGAGGCCTCCCCTGGTCCTCTGTCTGACTCCCATCGCTGGCAGCTGTCATGGCAGCAGAGGAATGTTCAGTCTGTACTGCCATAGGCCTGGACGTCTGTTTGGGCAAGAAGTGCCTGCAGGCTTCCTGTGGACCAGGTGTAGGCCACACAGTGCTGTTACTAGCCTAACCCAGCGCTGTCAGAAAAAGGCTCTGCTCCCTCCAGACACTTGGGTTCCATCTTCTGGGGAACCTTCACAGGGCTGGAACTTGGACAAGACCCTTTATCGCCACCTGCTGGAAAGCTGTCAGAATAAATGTGTTTACGAGTCTACACGGATGATGTGAATGGTACCCATAGGGCAGGGGTGAGGAACCTTTTCTTCTTTCAAGAGCCACTGGATATTTGTAACATTATTCCCAGGCTATCAAAAATTATCAACTTGAAAATTAGCCTATAATAAATTTATTGAATTTGAGATCAGCTTTCAGTTGCTTTGAAAGGGCCCTACTTTCCTAGGGTATGGAATGCATAGCCTCATACAACAAGAGGTGAATGCATGGCCACTTGCAAATAGACCAGTGTGAGAGTGACTTTAGATGCTAACTGACAGGGCCCCTACAGAGTTGAACAGGCTTTTACACAGAAGCAGCTGGAGGTGGGCCATCAGATTCCTAAGCGCTGAAGGAGGGGATGAAAACTGCCAAAAAGGAGTGCTTTTGCCCAGTCAAGGGAGTGACTGGTGAGAAACCACCAGAGAAGGGCGATGGTAGTGGCTTCTGAAGCAAACATAGAAGTATCGTGAGAAAGCCAGCTTTAAACATCTACCAAGCCCAGGCAGTCTTGGGCCATCACAAGGGAGCAAAAGTTAAGAGCTTTCCTGCTCTCCTTTTCCTCTCTCCCTCTCTGCTTGGCGCTGGGTAGAAGGCGGGGAGCCGGGGAGACAGAGTGGGTGGGGTCAGAGATGACTGTGCTGCTGTCTCCAGGGCAGGCCGTGAGTCAGCTGTCCAAGAGGGAAGCGTCTTTACCCTTTGTGACTGATGATCACAGGACTGTCTATTCCTAAGGGGACCACAGAAACTCTTGGAACCTGCCTGGGTTTTTAATTAGGTACATGACAGATCTATTCCCACTGTACAGGTTTAAAGGGATAACAAAAAATGTGTGTGTGTGTGTGTTTAAAACCATACCCAGTGAGCTCTGCATGTTGAATACGCTGGTTCCATTTTGTCAAGCAGGATCTAGAAAATATATCTTGTAGGACATGCTCTTGAGTTTTACAGGGGGAAAATGGCCACTGAGTCATGTACCTGCTTTCTGAGAACACGTACTTTGGGAGCAGGGCATATAAATGTAGGGGAGCCCCTGCCCTCTGGGACTTGCCTCTTGGGTTTCACACTCTGAGCACTTATTACAGTGAGTTATGTCATCAGCAGCTGTGTTGCATAGGCGGGGCAGGTTCAGGATGGTTGTACTCAGGACTTACTCTCTTATGATTTTTACTTGCTTGTAATTAAGCTTTTGAAGCAGTCATTTTGCCCTGTTCTCCAAGCATGGAATCACAGGTAAATCTTCCGCTTAAGATGTCTGAGGAGGGGGCAGGGCTGAATGTGTGAGCTGCACTCTGACTGGGCGGCTCGGAAACTGGGGTCAGCCTAATCCTCAGTCTGGCAGATCTGGAAACTTACATTTCACTTTATTCCAGTTTAATCAGGACTTGAGAAATTAATTTGGATAAAACTACTTCATCATTCAGTTCAATGAACAGAAGCTGATTTATACATCATAGTATAGATTTATTAATTGACAAAAGAGCTGTGCAGCTGGTATGACTAGTCCCAGCCATGTGCCTTGGGCAGCAGCTCCTTACTGGGTGTGTTGATTTACTGAGAGACCCCTTTGAGTGATGGAAAGGCTACTTGCTGAATTTGGAATCACAGCATAGGCTCTTGTCAGTTCTTAAAGGATATTCAGAATTTAAGTTTGCTAGGGTAAGAATTTCACGAAGGCAGGCTTGTTATTGAAGATGAGATTAGAAGCTGGTATGCATTAAATGAGCGTTGAATGAGTGAGTGGATCCAGATTTTTTAAAAGTTACTTTATTTGAAAGAGAGGAGAAAGAGAGAGGAAGAAAGAGAGGGAGAAGGAGGGAGGGAGGGGGAGAGAGAGAGAGAGATCCCTTATCTACTGATTCATTCCCCAAGTCCCCTCTCCCCTGCACCCCATTCCCAAACAGCTAGATCTGGGCCAGGCCAAAGCCAGGAGCCCCAGAATTCAATCAGAATCTCCATGTGGCCTGCAGGGACTCAACTACTTGAGCTATTGCCTGTTGCCTCCTAGGGTGTGCATTTGCAGGAAGCTGGAATCAGGAGGAAAGCTGGGACTCCAATCCAGGCCCTCTGATGTAGTATGTCTGTGCCCTCAATGGTATGCCCAATGCACGGCCAAGAATTTTTTTTAAATAACTTTTTCCTTTTTTTTTTAAAAAAAAATATTTATTCATTTGAAAGGCAGAAATACAGACACAGAAGGAGCCACAGAGAGACGAAAAGAGAGATCTTCCATCTACTTGCTCACTCCCCAAATGGCAGCAACGACCAGGGCTGGGCCAGGCAGAAGCCAGGCAGCTTCTTCTGAATCTTCCACATGGGTGCAGGAGCCCATGCACTTGGGCTATTTTCCTCTGCATATTTTTCCAAGCATATTAGCAGGGAGCTGGATCAGAAGTGGAGTAGCTGGGACTTGAACCAGTGCCCACATGAGATGCTGACGCTGCAGGTGAAGGCTTAACCTTCTACGCCACAGTGCCGGCCCCAGAATTGAGTTGTTTTTTTTTTTTTTTTTTTTTTTTTTTTGGACAGGCAGAGTGGACAGTGAGAGAGAGAGACAGAGAGACAGAGAGAAAGGTCTTCCTTTGCTGTTGGTTCACCCTCCAATGGCCGCCGCGGCCAGCACGCTGCGGCCGGCGCACCGCGCTGATCTGATGGCAGGAGCCAGGTACTTATCCTGGTCTCCCATAGGGTGCAGGGCCCAAGCACTTGGGCCATCCTCCACTGCACTCCCTGGCCACAGCAGAGAGCTTGCCTGGAAGAGGGGCAACTGGAACAGAATCCGGCACCCCAACCAGGACTAGAACCCGGTGTGCCGGTGCCGCAAGGCGAGGATTAGCCTAGTGAGCCACGGCGCCGGCCAGAATTGAGATTTTAATTGTCCTGATTGGTTCTGGTCCTTAGTCATATCTCTCCTGGACAGAGTGGCCTGCACAGTACATTATTCTCCAGTCTGTTGGTTCTAGACTCTTTGTGGACCCCACCCTCCGGTTGTGACAGCATCAACTGGGCATGTGGCACTTGGGTTGCAGATGATTTATTTTTAATCTTTCTGATGAAATCTGGGAGCCATCCTGGCCTCTGTAACATATTTATAGATCATCTCAAAGGGTGATCATTCAAAAAAAAAAAAAAATCTTGTCTCTAATTCTGTGAAGGTTTTTGTTTTATGGTTCCAGGTTGCTGACTCCAGTTCAGGTAGGGCAGGGGGCAATCCAAATGTCGTGTTTCCTATTTTTAGACAAGAGTTCTTTACACAGGTGTGGATCTAGCGTCCCAAAGGAGCCTAAAGGCTGAACTTTGGATTTTACTCAATGGGAATCTGAAAGCTCTGAACAGACTAACGCCAAGAAGGGATCGGTCTACTGTTCCTACTTTTCTGAGCCTGAGTGAGGGGCCAGGTGGTCTCGGGGCGGGGGGGCGCAAGGTAGGGCTCAGGGAGCCCCCTCTTTCTTTTGGCCTGGAAGCCTCAGCTTAGTACAGGAGGCTCTTCGTGAGCACGCGGCCTATGGCCAGTACACACCCAGGCCCTTTCAGCGTGAGAGATCTAGGTCAGGTCGTGAGGCGAAGGGGAAGGGCAGGGGGCGGGCGGCGCGCAGGTGCAGCCCGGTGGTCGCCGATCTCACCGCCGGTGACCGCTTCAGGCCTGGCCCGGCGGTTTTCTGTGCTCCTCCCCAGGAGAAGGGAACCTGGGTTTTTCTGGCCTTTGGCAAGAGAGGCGTGTCCCCCTCCGCAGAGACCAGGAGTGCCGCCAGTCATATTTTGTCTTTATCTCTCACATCCCCTGCGCATTTCCCTCCTTTTCCTTCCCAAACCGAACACCGGCAGGCCGCTCCCTCGGGCCTGCGCCGGGATTCCCGCACCCTAACTTGGGAGCCCACAATCGGGGTTGAGGGGGGGCGTCAGTGCGCCTCCAGGTTCGCGGCTGCGGCCGGCGGGTGGGCGGCCCCTCCCCGCCGCGCGCGCGCCCCTCCCCCGCCGCGGCGCGCCCCGTCCCCTCCCACGCACGTCACGTCCGGTCCGGCCTGCGCCCGCCCTCCGCCCTCCGCCCTCCATCTCCTCCCGCTCTCCGTTAGGGAGGCTCTGCGCCTCAGCAGCTGCCTCCGTCGCCGCTCCCACCCCTCCTTCCGCGTCTTCGCCGCCAGCACCGCCGGGGGCATCCGGGGGTCGCTTACCGGGCTGGCCCCGCGCCGCAGCCGTCGCTTCAGCCTCCTGCCAGCGGCCGTCCCGGGAACAGGCTCGCCGGCCGCGGAGCCGCTCAGGGCATCAGTTCTCGCTCGCTCGTCGTCGCCGCGGGTCCTGGAGAAGCGGCCGCGGCCGGGGATCGGGGCTTCGCGGTTCCAACGGTAGGTAGACGGGCGGATACCGGGCTCTGCGCATGCGCGGGCCGCCGGCCGCCGCGGCCCTTCCCCCTCAGTCGCCCCCGGGCGCCGCGTCCCACCCGCACCGAGAGCTGCGTGTCAGGGTGCGGAGAGCCGGGGGCCGTGCCCTGCCGGTGGGCCCTGGGTGGAGAGGCCCCCTTTCCGCTAGTGGGAGGCGGGAGGAGCCGTGCCCCTGGCTGCCAGGGGGTGTGGCAGTCCCCGGTTTTCCGCCGCTGCGTTGCGCGTGAACGGGTGTCAGTTCCCACCCCTGGCCGGCGCGGCACCCCGCGTCTGTTGGCCCTTCCCGCCCGCGCACCTCCTCGCCCACTTCCTCGGTGCTGGGCAGTGAAGTTGATGCAGAAAAAAAGTGTGGTTTATCCGGGGCCCAACTGTTTAAGGTCACGTGGGACGAGCGGTTGCTGACTTCCTTCATCGCTGGGAGAATATGGCCAAAATTGGGCTGTCTGTGCACCGGGGCCTGGCTAGAATGCTCTGCACCGGCCAGGCCCGCAGGGAGACCTTTCGTGCAGCCCCGAGCACCCGATGGGGTCGCCTCCTGACTCGGGCAAGGCTTTAGGGAATTTTTAGCGGTTGGCACACTTGGACCGGTGGGAAATTGTTAAACTTTTTTTTTTTTTTTTTTTTTGGTAATCCGGTAGAAACCAAACTGGCTTTAAGGAAAGACAGTAGCAGAATTTCTCTTGGCTCCCCATCATGCTGTCAAATCCATGAGAAATGTTGATCATTTACCTTGTTTTCAAGAAGCCGATAAGCCATAAATGGCAACCAGAACCGCAGTGATGCGGGCTGTCAGCGTTAAACAGCTCGGTGGTACTTGCTGTTAGAGGCAGGCACTGAAGGGTGGTTTCTGAATTGAATTTCTGAGGCGGGGTTAATGTGATACTATAACTTCAACTCTTCTTTGTAACCTGGAAGTACCTGTTGGCCTGGGTTTCACGCAGGTACTGTGCACTAGGTATTTCTTGAAAGTAGTGGGATGAAATGGTCAGTATTTGTATCTCCATCAGAAGTCCTTTCTGGGTGTTAATTTTTTTTCTTTTTTTTTTTTTTAAGATTTTATTTGTTTATTTGAGAGATTTACAGAGGAGAGAGAGAGAGAGAGAGAGAGAGAGAGAGAAAGAGAAAGGTCTGCCATCTGCTGGTTCATTCCCCAGATGGCCACAACAGCCAGAGCTGAGCTAATTGGAAGCCAGGAGCCAGGTGCTTGTGCCAGGTCTCCCACACAGGTGCAGGGGCCCAAGCACTTGGGTCATCTTTGACTGCTTTCCCAGGCCATAGCAGAGAGCTGGATTGGAAGTGAAGCAGGTGGGACTTGAACTGGCGCCCATGTGTGATTCCAGTGCCGCAGGTGGAGGCTTAGCCCACTGGGTCACAGCGCTGGCCTTGGCTGTTATCTTGAGAAGTCTTGGCTTTCAGTTCTTTTGGGTAGATGCCCGGAAGTAGAATTGCTGAGCCATATGATAATTTTATATCTATTTTTTTTTTTAGAAAAATCATTTACTTTATTATCTGAAAGGCAGAGACACAGGGAAACAGATACATCTCTCATCTGCTGAGTCACTCCCCCAATGCCCACAATGACAAATCTGAGCCAGCCCAGGCTGAAGTGAGATCTAGGAACTCAATTTGGGTCTCCCCCATGGGAGTCAGGGACCCAACTACTTGAGCCCTTAACGGCTGCCTCTCAGGGTGTGTGTTACCAGAAACTGGAATTCGGAGCAGAGCCAGAACTCTAACCCAGGCGCTCTGATAAAGGATATGGGTAGCCCTAAGTCATATCTTAACGGCTGTACCAAATACTCACCGTATGTTTAATTCTTTTAGGAACTGGTATAGCATTTTTCCACAGGAGCTATCATTTTACCTTCCTTCCAGGGATGCTCAAGGGTTCCAGTTTTTCCATATCCTTATCAACAGTTGTTACTTTTTTTTTTTTTTTAAAGACATTTAATTTATTTCAAAGAGTTATACAGAGAGAGAGAAGGGGAGGCAGAGGGAGAGAGGTCTTCCATCCATTGGTTCATTTCCCAATTGGCTGCAACAGCCAGAGCTGCGCTGATCTGAAGCCAGGAGCCAGGAACTTCCTGTAGGTCTTCCCACACGGTTGCAGGCGCCCAAGGATCTGGGCCATCTTCCACTGCTTTCTCAGGCATAGCAGAGAGCTAGATAGGGAAGTGGAACATCCTGGAGTGGAAACGCATCCCATTTGTTACTCTGTGTTGATTGGTTTGACCTTAGCCATCCTAATGGATGTGAAGTGATACCTAATGTTTTTGATTTGCATTCCCCTTAAAGACTGGTGACAGGCATCTTTTCATGTGCTTATTGACCATTTGTATATCTTTTTTAGAGAAGTATCTGTTCCAGCCTTTGCCCATTTGTTTATTTATTTGAAAGGCAAAAAGACAGCTTGGGTCCACTGGTTTACCCCTCCCCCCCAAATGCCTGCAATAGCTGTGGCTGGGCCAGGCTGAAGCCAGGAGCTTGGAACTCTTTCCTTATCTGGGTCTCCCACATGGGTGGCAGGGACCCAAGTACTTCACTCTGCTGCCTCCCAAGGTGTGTATTAACAGGAAACTGGATTAGAAGCAGAAATGGGACCCCATCTCAGGTAGTCCCACATGGAATGGGAGTGCTCCAGATGCAGCGTAATCTGCACCACAACACCACACCTCTCCCCATTTTTGAATGAGTTTATTTGTTGTTGAGTTGTAGGTATACCTATTCCTTTTAAAGTTTTTTTTTTTTTAATATTTATTTTATTTATTTGAAAGAGTTAGGGACAGAGTTACAGAGAGAGGTAGAATGCCAGAGATGGAGAGTGGTCTTCTATTCCACTGGTTAACTCCCCAAATGACTGCAACAGCCAGGGCTGCGCTTCTTCTAGGTCTCCCACGTGGGTGCAGGGGCCCAGGGAGTTGGGCCATCTTCTGATGTTTTTCCAAGCCATAGCAGAGCTGGATCGGAAGAGGAGCAGCCAGGACTTGAACTGGCGCCTATGTGGGATGTCGGCACTGCAGGCTGGGGCCTTAACCTGTTATGCCACAGCGCCGGCTCCTACGGTTATTTTTTGAATGGGTTAAACAGTTTATCTGAAAATGTAACTTTTTTTTTTTAAAGATTAATTATTTACTTAAAAGTTACAGAGAAGGACATGCAGAGGTGGAGAGAGAGAGAATCTTCCATCCACTGGTTCACTCTGCAAATGGCCGCTACTGCTTGGGCTGGGCCAGGGAGCCAGGAGCTTCGTTTGGGTCTCACATGGGTGCAGGTTTCTTATGCTGCTTTCCCAGGTGCATTAGCAGGGAGGTGGGTCAGAAGTAGAGCAGACAGGACTCTAAGCAGCTTTCATATGGGATGCTGTCACTGTAGGTGCCAGCTTTTCCTTCTGTGCCACAGCATGGGCCCCAAAACCAACATTTCTGAAAAGGAATGAAAAGCAAACTTTTTATAGAAAAGAAATTTTAAAAAATATTTATTTCAGAGGTAGAGTTACAGACAGAGGGGGAGACAGAGAGAAAGGCCTTCCATCTGCTGATCCGAAGCCAGGAGCTTCTTCTGGGTCTCCCATGCAGGTGCAGGAGCCTAAGCACCTGGGCTATCTTCTACAGCTTTCCCAGGGCAGGCAGAGAGCTGTGCCACAGCACTGCCCCGAAAATTTCTTTTAAAGATGGATGAGATGTTTTAAAGAAGGACTGATTTTTTTTTAAAAAAAGATTTATTTATTTATTTGAAAGAGTTACAGAGAGAGAGATCTTTCATTTGCTGGCTCTCACATAGGTGGCCACAATGGCAGGGACTAGGTCAGGCCAAAACCAGGAGCTGGGAGCTTCTTTGGTATCTTCCACATGGGTAGGGGGGCCTAAGCACTTGTTCCATCCTCTGCTGCTTTCCCAGGCAGGCCATTAGCAGGGAGCTGGATTGGAAGTGGTGGAACAGTCAGGACTTGAACTGGTACCCATATTGGGTGCCAGGATCTCAAGCAACAGCTTTATCTGCTATACCACAATGCCAGCTCTGAAGGGCTGATTTTCTCTGAAAATTTTCAGCTATTTAGTAGATCTGTATTTAGTTTTCAGCTAGGTACATATCAGTACCAAAAACTTATTTCCATCATATCAGTGTTATAAAGATGTTCCCAATACATGAACTAATGCTTTACTTTGTTTATAGGTTGTGGTAGGGTGTGGAGAGTATAGGGGTGAGGAGTACCTGATAGAAAGAAAGGAAGTATGGTATGTACTTTATGAACTTGACTGCACTCAGTGTTCTGCAAATGTGAGAGGAGTGAGAGCTACCTTAAGAGAGGTTATATGTGGGGCTGGCACTGTGGTGCAACAGGTTAATGCCCTGGCCTGAAGTGCTGGCATTCTATATGGGTGCCGTTTCGAGACCCTGCTGCTCCACTTCCAATCCAGCTCTCTGCTATGGCCTGGGAAAACAGTGGAAGATGGCCCAAGTCCTGGGGCCCCTGCGCCCGCGTGGGAGACCCACAAGAAGCTCCTGGCTCCTGGCTTCGGATTGGCGCAACTCTGGCCATGTGGCCAACTGGGGAGTGAACCATTGGATGGAAGACTTCTCTCTCTGCCTCTCTTTCTCTCTCTGTGTAATCTTTTAAATAAATAAATAAATCTTCAAAAAAAAAAAAAAAAAGAGGGTATATGTGAATATCTGACTTAGATTAGAAATGGAAATAATAAAGCATATTTGGAATTTAATGTAACAAGGGCTGTTTTAGTGTAGCAGTTAATTGCACTTGGTACACTAATATAAATTCATAGTAATGGGATTATATAACTCATTAGCAGATGTATTTATTCATTAATCAGATATTTATTTAGCTCCTAAGTGCTAGAGCTACATGGAAGAGTAAAAAGCAGTTATGGGGGATGGTTGCATAATGCTGTAAACTTAGTACAAATATTTACA